TTGTGCTGGCATGGAGAAAGTTCTGAGAAAGACAATGGAGAATAAATCATTTGCAGGCAGAATCTTTGGGAAGAAAGGTTGAATGTGAAGTGATTTGATTTTCCTTGAAAGAAAAATTTTTATTCTCATATTTGTCTTCCTATAGTTCTACAGATAATGACCTGCATTTGAAACGTGGTTTAAAGTACTGAGTAATTACTATTTGAGGAGTTTACTTTTGGTCAACTTTGAAAATGGTAATGGTTGACAATTTCAGGAATAATGAGGAAATGCTGAGTATCACCATTGTTTTTTTTCCTTTTCTGTTTTTTTTTTTTTTTTTTTTTGAGTACTTGTTGTGGATAACCTTGTTATGGACTCCACGCTTCCTAGAAGGGTTTTGCTTTTCGCAATTTTCGCTTTTTTTTTTGCCTCTGAACTTAGGAAACCCACCCAACCCATTGTTTGAAGGCGAGAACAACCCTGTTAGCGGATCCTGTGTGGGAAAGAAGCAGGCTCACCTTAGGCAAGCAGCTCTTCACCTTGCACAGCTTGGCCAAGCCAAGCGCTGTCTGACAGGCCTCCACAGGTCCGTGAGGCCAACCCACAGCCTTCACTATTCAGCCCTTGCTATCTGATGGCTTTTCCTCTGAGCAGATTCAAACTTACTTGTAGTTTATCCCAGTGTGTCATCCAAATTTTGTACCCAGGAAGCTAAAACTAAACCAAGCAGTCACTACCAACAAACCAGCAATAGTATAGTGTCATTGGGACTATGTGCACACGTAACAGATTAAGTCCTTGGCATGATTTTATAATTGGGCAAGAGAACTGCCTGATGGTAACTGTGATTATATCATCACAAAATATGCAAATAAAAGTGTTATCTACTGTGTCTCTGTGCTATTGATTTTCAGTTTGCTTTCCAGTTACTTTATTACACACAGCAAGGAGAGGGGCATTTCTTTGGCATGTCAAGTTATTATCATTACTTCTCTTTCCCTGTCTTTCCCGCCTCCTTTTTAGCCCTCTAAGCTAAGAACTTCTGGTGCATACGCAGAAAAGGACACTAGGAAGAAAGATTTCTTTGTGCTCCTGCCACCCACATGGAAGCTTGTCAGTATAATCCTTGGAACACATCCTCAGGCAGCGATATTACAAGGTCTCACATCCCCATGATTGGACAGTGTCGGGATGAAGCTGTGTGCCACCCCATAAATGCACCCCGGTGGACCAGGCTGTTGAAAAGTCCCATGGCCTACGTGTTCAACATATTCAAGAGGGATTGAAATACGGTGTCTGTCAAGATTTGTTTTTTAGAAAAAGAATTTTGAGATTCTGGTGACTCAAAGTTTGGTATAGTGCTTTCTTTGAAACTGCCTCTTAAAACATTTTTCCTCTACCTGTTTATAAGAAATTCAAGATTTGGAGGTCAAAGCTGATAAATCGTCTACTTACAATGCATGTGAAGACTGAAAACAGAATAGACTATCACAATGTTGTTGGAACTGCCTTCACCATGACAGACAGGAAATATCTCTTTAAAATGCTTGAGTTTCCTGCAGTCTTTATGAACTTCAGCTTTACGCCCACAATCTAAACAGATGGAAAACTAAAGCCAGCTTTCTAAGTTTTTTAATATAAATAAGTTCAAAATTCTGGAAAAAGTCCTATGTTCTAGTATTCAATTTGAAAACAGTTTTTACATAGTTACTACACGAAAAAAGAGCTGGAAATGTAGTCAGAATAAGTACTCAGTCTTCTTTATATACGTTTGAAGTCTCTTGCTGGAGACAAAAATACTTATTAATTTTGTGGAAAGACCATTAGAACATACTATACACAAAACACAAATCTCTTTCTGTAGTTTATTTAAAATTTATTGAGTGTCCTGCGCTCTTACAAATGTAACATTCTTGTATATAACATTCATTGGAGAGGCACAATTCTTTTTTTGAGGTGGCACAGTTAGACATTTTTTTTCAGTGAATAATTTCTCTTTTAATAGGAAATGTAACAACAAGCTAGTTTTCCCCATAAAAAGTGGTTTGAAATTCTATCCCTAATATAAGATAAAATTAAATTTTTCTATCTCAAAATGACCCTATCAAACTAACAGTACATGACTACTGCCTTTATACCTTCAATTATAAGCAGAGTAATTTCACAGTGGAAGTTTTTAAAACAAAACATTTAAAAATATATTATTTTCAGGGAAGAAACTGACCTGGATAAAGAATTTGGTGCTACATCTTGTTATGAAATCATCAGTCAGGTGATCAAGAGAGTGCATTGCCACAGAATTTCTTTGCAGGCTTCCACCAGCCAGGGCCCCGTCAGCTAATTTGAAAACTCCTCTTAGAGACATAGATGTCTAAGAGGGAATGGAAGATGGGGCAAGGGAGATTGATCCATGGTTTTGGAGAGTAGACTTCGGGTTATCTGGGCTGGTTAGAATGTCTTCAGCAACACACTTGTACAGCATCTGGCTTAACACAATTTCATCTTTCAGGTTTCAGAGCTCTGTCCTTCCTACCTTTCACCTCCAATATTACAGCCCTGGCATCAGGACAGAAGTCCGAAAGTGACAAGAAGCCACGCAGGTAGAGTGAGTCACAAGTCACTAAGCTCTAGTCAGTTTTCTTGAACTAGGCTTTCTAACCAACTACTGAATATCACTGAGAAAAACAAACCAAAGACTGAGGTTGAAGCAGGGAAGAGGCAGTGGGTGGTTAGGCCAGCGCACAGTCATAAAATTCCCCATCTGCCTCAAAATTCCCTGGGGGCCAAGGGTGCTTGTTAAAATGCAGATTCTTGGTCCACACAGGTACAAAGACTCAGAATCTTTGGAGGGGAGCTGAGGAATCTGCCTGTAAACAAACATCTAAGACTGTAGATGGGGTCCATCCACAGGCCAAGGCATGTGATCCTCGCCCCACTTTTCTTTCCCAGGTTCCATTTCTCTTTTATTCATTCTTGCCTTTTCTCTTCAATAGCATTTAATGTCAACAATGCTGTATTTGACAATCTCTGGAAAGCTTTCTACTTTTGACCAACAGGCTTTGAGGATGGAGGGCAGGATACAAGGAATGTTTTCAACCTGCAGAACTGTCAATGCGAGGAGGTTCACCAGACTCTGGGCACTTGATTTCCATTTCTTTTTCAAAATTAGGTTTAGCAACTTTGTTTCCAGCTAGGAAGTGAGGGCATTAGAAGAGATAGAAAAGCAGCTATCTTGAGCACTGGAAGTTTTAAATGTTTGTGACACAAATGTGCAGCATGGGAGGTTAATAATAAATAACTCAGTATAGACTACCTGCCTCGTCATCATTAAAATGGCATCATTTCACGAGCAGTCATTCTGGATCCCCACAGCTTTGTCAGAGATTCTTTCACCACAAACAAGAGAAAAACATTTCCCAGGGCTTCCTCACCTGCTGCCAGCAAGTTCGGTGTGACCATTATTTTGGACCCCCAAAAGATGGAAATGAATTCACTAACTTACCATTTCAAGATGAAAAACAGTGTATTGTTTTCTAAGTATTTCAAATTTAACATTTTGACTGGGCTACCAGAACTAGAAGTTGACGAGATTCTCTTTCTCTGGTAATGTGTTATTATTTAATAGTAGATACTGGGGTAGTGGTAAGGCACATGCGCACAGCCTTCTAGAAAAGCCCTATATGCGATAAATAAATTTAAAACAATGCAGATTTTAAAAAGTGGCAAAAGCAGATCAATGAGAACCTCAGGGTGGAGGTTGGAGAGGCGCAGGGCAGAGGGATTACAAAGGGGCAGAGGAAACGTTTTGTGGTGATGGACATGTTCACTATTGTGATCTTGGTGACAGTGTCAGGAGTGTACATACACATGTCACACTATCACATGGTACAGTTCAGATTTGTAAAGTTTATCGTATGTCAGTTATAGCTCAATGAAGCTTTTTAAAAACAAACTTGAAATGACTAAAAAATTTTCTAGCAAACTACATTATTTCCTAAAGAAATAACTAGGTGAGGATAGCTAAGGGAATCGGGAGTTGGTACCTAACATAAGTACTAATTTTTAACATTATTCTTTCTAACAGTATTAAATTGTTGCTTACCCTGTTAACTAAAAGTAAGAAGAGACAGGAGGAACTTAAATAGGATTATGCCTTGTTTTCTGGAAACTCAATATTTCTCTCTCCATAATTGCCTTAATTTTTATTTAAAAGGGTAGCATGATAGAAAAAAAATTTTCAGGAAATAAAAACATTCTTGTTTTATGTTTTTTTCCTACCAATCTGGAAATACTGAGGAAATTAATAATACGTAATTATGGTGTAATTTTGAATCCATGAACTTTTAATAGTGTTCCACAGGAGGCTAAATATAGTTGTTCTGATATTGATATATTACCCTGCAACTGCTTAAACACTGCATATTTCATAAACACTCCAGACACAGTGCAAAAGAACAGACATGCATATCCTTGCCCCTCATTATGTTAGGACCAGAAGGAGCAGGAAAGTAAATCAAGTCCGATAGTTGTTCGAAAAACAAAAGAATGTATATGACTGACAGGTAACTGCCAACTGTCAGCTGCAGTAATCAAGGGGCTTCATTTGCTTAAGATGTTGGGCATGCTGGTTCATCACAGCAATTTTTAAAGAATTCATTCTTTAGATTTCGTTTTGGAAGAATTAAAGCTAACCCTTTCTTAAACAATTTGTCATTTTCTCTAATAGCAAAGGCTGATACAAAGTCTTAAAATGTATGTTCTTACAATATGTTCAGTCACAGATGTGTGTTCTTACAATTACGTATTCAAGTCAGGTTTAACAATGAATCATGCAATGTACAGTTTAAATGTATCAATTTTACAAAAGAAAATAAAGCACAGAGGATCTAATTCTGGTTTGATAAGCGGTATTTCTAAATTATGGGAAGCTTTTTGAAAAAAACAAAAACACTTTAATCTTAGCTCCAATGACATTTTTTTCCATCTTTCCCCCAAAAGAACATGTCTAGAGCACAAGATAGATTCATAATTGTTTAATTAGATATATTTTATATATCCTGAACATAATGGCTCCCAGAGAAACAAACTAATATTTTGTACACAAACTTTTTATTTATTGTGCCACATTCATAATATACCAACTTGAGCCAAGTGGAAACATTGTTACACCCCCTGGTGTGTGATGAGCTCTGCTCTCACTAACACTTCATCATCCAGGATGACAGAGAACAAGATTAGACAAGATGGCTAATTAAAATCCACAAGGTAATAACAAAAATGTACATTAGATTATGATCATAAACTCTTCTCTGGCCACAGCGGTCACCAGAACTAAGCAACAATTTTATCAGTTTCCTCTTTACTCCCGTCCCCCCCCCCAATGCTCCTTGGGGCAGAACTAATGATTGTTGAGTGGAGTTGCTGTTGGGCATGGGGCCAGAATAATGAAGAGGCGTGAAAGGTTTGGAAAATCAACAACTTGGCATCTCTTGTATTGAAAACCCTTTGGTTTCTCTTACCCAGCAAATACATTTGGTAGTGTTTATGTCACATATACTTGACATGTAATATTAGAAGGTATCTCAAATGAGGTTAATTTTTAGAATTGCCTGGAGATTATGGGATATTTAAAAATAACCCATAAAAACTGACAATTAAAAAAATAAACAGTAAAATAACAGCAAAATCTAAGAGCAAATTTGTACCCTGGGTGGCAGAATACGGTTGTGTCTATGTGTGCTGGTGTGTGCCATTGGTCTGTTCCATCTAGCCACATCCATGACCCATCATCGCTTATTACTGCTTTCCTTAATGACCAGCTCAAAGAGATGAAGGAGGTTAGGAATAAATTATGGGGAGGTGTAAAGATATATTAAGTCTCCTCCATCCTAGATTGTTTGGGAAAAACAAATAAGAAAAGTGTCCTGAAATAAAAAGACGTGTTTATTCTATCCTTTTGCTATTTAAACTAGTCTCAAAAGCCCCTAAATTTTGAAGATGAAAATTCCAAACAGAGTAAGTCTCACAATTCTCTAACCACCATATCAATAAAAAGTAAAAAAGAAATAAAGGATGAGGCCATTACATTATGCATATTTGACGGAGAGATTTGTGATTCAAGTATTATAGGAGTATTATCTAAAATTTGATTGATCACTTGAATTGGAAGTCTAATCAGGATGTCTGAATCTCAACAGAGATTCTGAATCTGGGGTTATTATAAAATGTGGTGATTTTAATTAATTTGACATTCTTCTCATTCTCATCTTGGAATCCTAATCAGTTTCAGGTTAGCTCTGACCAACATACACTTACCTGATCTGTAGTTTGAACTTATCTAGTAAAGGTCCTCTGTATTAGTTATTCTTTTTCTCAATTATAACTGAAACAATAGTTGCTTCCTTGATGGGTCCTGAGTCCTCTCCCAGCTGCCTGACTGATAGCATGCCTGTTGGTAACTGATGCCTCACCTTCCTATTTCTCTACTTGCAGTACTTTTACTTTGCAGAATTCTTTCCTTATCTTTAGGTGAAATATTTGTGAGACTGTTCAGGGACGGGCTAGTAAGTACAAACCAAAGCCACTTTCGATATATTTAAAGATTTACCAATCATAGGAGAATAGACTTCTATGACGAAGTCAATAATATTCTAGTTAAATTCTAATTAAATTTAGAGGCATGTATCTCAGGATGCAGATAAAAGGACGTCAAGATGAATGAGCAGAAAAAGAATGGATAACAAGGGAAACATTTTACTATCAAGAGGCACGCCGCCTATAGATTTAAAACTGGAATTTAAGGCATTGGGAAACCTAGGGAGGGTGCTGCTTAAATGGGACACTTAAATCTGGTGATGTATTAGGGAGTTTACTTGAGAATGAAATTTCATTCTAAACCAGTGCATGCTGTATACATAATGCAGGGACTCAGCTAACAGGAGGGATGAGTTTTAGAATAACTAAAATATTGCTCCACCTGGTGGAAGCTTCAGAGCTTTCCGTTCTGCTCTCAGCAGTTTTGATTTGATAGTGGGTTAGTCATTCATTATTAGGAATGCTTTGCTGAGGAGAAATAACCCTAAAATCAACACCTTATAACAGAATGTACAATGTCAGTAACTCTGTTATCAGAGTTGAAAATACCACTTAATGTCTGATGGTAAGAATCTAGAACTGACCTAACTAAGAATAAAATATATGAACTTTTATAATTCTTTAGGAAAATCTCTAGAGAGATTTTTTTTTTAACATACATTTATATAGCTATCTATGTGCAGCAACTCAGGAACAGTGATGTGAATTTACTGCAAACGCCTCTGTATGCTGGAGGCAAAAACAAATCCTGAAATATGTAAACACGTTTGTGTCCACATCCACCTTTTGTTGGAATGGATAAATTCCTTAGCTTATGTTTTATATCTCTGCCAATAACAAAGTAAATGCTTAATATGTGGTCATGTATTATGCAGCATTACGTGATGAAAATATAAAATATGATTTTGCATAGAGCTCATTTAAACAATGAAAATAAGCTACTAACATGCTTGCTTCTCTTCCCAGTGGGATTCCATTCATGCCAATGGGTTGGCATAGGATAGAAATGCGGGTTACATTGTGCTTCACTCAAAAATAGTTACGTTTCTAGTCCTCCAAAGCCCTCCCCCAAAATCCCATATGCTTTTTGTTATTTCCCACAAAGGTTTTAACACTGATGCCAAGTGTTCAAATCAAATACAGGTGTTACCAAATATGTTACCAAATAATAGGGCACACGGTGAGGTCAGGTGGAAGAGGGATGGTTTATTGTCAGGATGATGCAGGACAGGAACTTGATGAGCAATGTGACTACAGAAATCTACCTAGCACACTGTTTCTTCCTTCCCCTCCAGATGTACAATACAGTAACCAGTATAGCAAAGTAAAGCAAGTGTGATTTACTTTGTGAATCCATTTAAGTTTGACTCATAATTGTTCTGATCCCAGGAAGTGAACCATGCCATGATTCAAAACTCTGTCCTCCACATAAACCTATGAGCACACATTAAAAAAATGATTTATTTTACATCTTTGCATTTCTTAAGGCATGAACAATGGCGTACGGATGGAACAGGTTCTGAGAAGCATGTCTTTACTGACAAGGCCAGCATGAGTACACCACATCAAACAGACACACTCGAAGTCTGAGCTGACCAACTGCAGTGGTTCAGGAGCTCCTACGATGAGGGGACGGTGCTTCCAGAAAAAGGACCACACATGTGGTTTACATCATGTTGCTTTAAACTCTCTGGATCAGCTGTAAGCACCAATTACAGTTTGTTTTTCTTTACAAACTTGTCAGACTTTGGATTGTATATTCTGCTCCTTTAATTCTGCTTTTCGAGGAGGGTGTGGAATTTTTTTTGTGTTAAGGAATATGGTTGCAGCAAAACAGAAAGAATCCAAAAGTGGTTAGGGGCCTTGTCTAATGCACTTCTGAAAGTCCATTATAAAGATGAATAGAAAAGCAAATGGTCGATGTTCAGTCGACCCAGAAACCACGCAGAGCTCTAAGAAACATAATTGTGCATAGTTATTTGTTCATCCAGAGAGTGATAGGCTGGCTAGCTCTACATTTCCAGGTTACCAGAGAACAGGGCTGTCTACTTTGCTAAACCCAGGGTCCTTGCGCAGCTCCCAGTAGGTGTCGTTAGAAACCCAGGCTTCTCTTTGATTGGCATCAATCACTTTTCTGTGAAAATATAAAAATCAACATTAGGCACACATCACATCAAGGTGACCTGATCATTGGACTCTCTCCTGTAGATAAGACATGTACAAATAAGCAGTACTTTGTAAGCTAGCTAGTGTCCTAGCTGCTCATCGATGACTTGACTATTTTTGACCAGAAATAAACTCATTTTTGTTGTTAAATGTTTGAAATGGAAGTGAGTAGGGTCACGGGGAGAGGGTCTGAGGGCAGGAATAAATCATCTCTGGGCAGGGCTAGAAAGTGAAGTGCCCCAAACAAAGCATGTACAAATACTGGAACTAAGATCTTCAGGCCCCAGACCCACAAGAAGCGCCTCTGCTTCACTTGTGGGGAAACCATGTAACTTTAGTAGCTCCAAGAGCCTCTGCAGGGCCCAGCTCCACAGAGTGCACTTTTGACATCTAAAGGGCTAGGCTGCATTTCTCCCCAGGGCGGGATGGAAGGACTACACAGGATATAAGGCTATTCTGGGCTTATCTGTCCTGGCTCTGGAAGGCAACAGATGCATCTGGAAACTGACGTTTAATGTGTGTGATGTATACATAATCCTGCAAATAATCCTGTGGTAATCACCCATGATCACACCACAGAGGGACCAAATCTGAACGGACACAAGCTCCGTGTGCCAGACATACAATTAATACTAATGAAGCCAGGATGATGTTGTGGGCAGTGGAGTCCCCTCCTATCTCTGAGTGAGGGAGTGGGGACACGTTTCCACTATTCCAAAGGGCGGTGCTGAAGGACAAAGAGTCTTCTGGGCAAGACCCTCACTCCTTTTTACTGCCCATGAAGAGAAAAGAGCTGTCAAGGAACATTCATTTTCTTGGTGACAAACTTCAAGAGCACAACATCTGATTTAATATTTTCACTGCCAAACCCAGTTATGAAAATCAGTTTAATTTTTCACCTTTACGTCCCCTGGACACTAAATTACCCCGCATTTTCTTTTCACCTGGAGTTTTGCACTGCCTGTGACAACCATTTGCCAAACATGAACTTGTTATGGGAATGAACTGACTTACTTAAAAAATTTTGGTACGTGTTCAAGGTTGTTTTCTTCCATGTATCGTCTTCGAGACCTCTGGAGTTCCTCGACTCTTTGCTTCTCTGCGGCTGCAGCTTCTAAATTTCCTTCTTCCAAGAATCTAAGCAGAAAGCAGTTAATCTTTTAATATATCATCCTCATTTCTGATCAAAAAATAAAATCTCATTTGCATATAATTACATTCTGGTTGCTGTGAAGATAACTGTGAACAGTAACACTCTGATTCATGTCCCCTCACCCCTGCTCCAAGCCACACTGTCTCTGCCTGCCACCAATTAACATACTTTCTGTATATGTGAACTGAATGATGGCAGACACCAATGTATCAGTAGGAGTGAAAGGTGAATGAGTGGTTTGACCTTGAAGACTTTTCTGTGCTGTCAAGGGTTCTAGAGCTTGAGAGTCTCAGGATAACTGAAGAGCATGAAGTCCCAGGTTGTACTCCTTTTCCATATTATCAAAAGGCACACGTTAAAGGCCACAGAATGGAGGCTGGGAATTGGCTGTTCTCCATCTGCTTTTAGAACTGATTGAGAGGGAAGAAGCTTCCCTGTTCTATTGGAGAGAGTAAAACTGATGAAAAAGAAAAGGTAACAGGCGGGGAAATTTATAAGCGGCCAGAGAAAATAAATGAATGGTAAATGAAATTCAGAAAGAGAATATTGAAATAGAATTGAGAAAGAAAAAAGCAGACCCAATGGTGGTTGGCAAATATTTAAATTTCAAAATGAGAGCAAAGAACAGGGACACCATGTGCTACACACTGTGCAGGAAGTTTGTTGGTAAATTTGAATGTTAAACAGTGAGATTGCATGTTCGGGGGAGGGACATCAGAGAACTGAACGGAGAACGTTCTATCCTGGGAACATTTTGGCAGAAGACAGAGAAAGCTACAAATATACTGGAAACAGAAAATGATCTTGGACGGAATTTGAATGGCATATAAAGTGTTTGGAAAAAGTGAACTTAATTCTGAAGAAATGGACAACATGAGTACAGAACCACATAAGAAGAGTAAAAACTAAGAATCACACGGCACTAAAGGGACTGCATGAGTACATCTTACACCCCGTGGGATCCAAACCATGTTGGGGAAATACCAGACTTTGACTCAAAGCATTTCTAGGTGCCCCTGTAACTTATTCTCTTGCTCTTCAGTTTGAAAGATACTCCATGCTACAGAATAATAGAATTAAAAAGTACAAACTCTGGGTGAGGAATGATTCTCTTATATAGTGGAGCGAGAACTCATGAATTTGCAGAACTTTGGCATATTTAGGGGTCGGGGGGAAACTTTTTGTTAAGAATCACCTGAGTTATCTTCCATGGGGAAGTTTTTAGTAAGCTAATTTTCTGTTATGAGCATCCTAGGATTGTTCTTTTACCTATGGTAGAAAACTCAAATACTGCTGATTAAATAAGGGAATGGATGAATAGTCAATAAGTAAAGAGATGATGGTGGTGAAAATAAGTCTCGATGATGTGTGTAGTGACATGCCATGATCTAGTGTCCATTTTCAATGCCACTGCCATGCTCACCTCTGATCTGGCCGGAATCGGGCATCTGTTGGTGGGAGGAGATCTTTTAGTACAGGATCTAACTCATTGAGCTCAATAGCAAATCTCGTGAAGCCATAGTAGAGCTCATAGTTTGTCGGCAGGGAACCTGGAACGAGGCCAATAAACCATTGTGAGAGGCAAAAAGGTTTAAGAAACTAGCAGCAGCTGACTTAACTCAGGGGTTTAATTAATATCCAGGCTATCAGCAAATTTTCAGTCATAAAATAAGATGATGAATTTTTTTCAAGTGCATTAAATTGGTTATATTTTGTTAGATGGGAAATGTTACATTGATTATCAAAACTGATAGATGCATGTATTTAATAAAATCCAGCCTTTAAAGTAAAACTTTGCACATATAGCATAGCCTTCGCTTGCTAAACAATGCCATTATTTTTCTCCCAAATACTCAGTTGGGTAACTAAATGCTAGGGTGATTAGCTATTAACATTAAGATTTCACCAGAAACACAATTTATTTCTTTTTGAAAAAGAAAAAGATGCAGATCTAGATTAATATTTATTGGCACTTTTAAACTAAACTCAAAGGTAGAATCTATGTATGCTTTGCTCATTGATGTACTCGTCTAGCTCCTAGAGCAAAGCCTGTTGCATAGTCAGTGCTCAATAAATAACTGTTGAATGAATGACCTAACCATTCTTTTTTTTTTTTTTAGCTGAGCCATCCTGCTACCTGTTGGCAGCTCAGCTCAGGCTGGACTCGAACTGCTGTTGCTCAGAGCTCAAACTCTTGAGCGAGCTCTTAACCAACTGAGCCACTCGGCCGGCCCTGACCTAACCATTCTATTAGCAGGACATCTAAATATGCACTGAGGTCTCTTAGGAAACCAACTAATTTTAAATTTATGGCTTAAAGGGCCGGCTGAGTGGCTCAGTTGGTTAAGAGCTCGCGCAAGAGTGTGAGCTCTGAGCAACAGTGGTTCGATGACCGGCCTGAGCTGAGCTGCCGCTGAGCTGCCTACAGGTGGCAGGATGGCTCAGCTAAAAAATAAAATAAAATAAAATAAAATAAAATAAAAACAAAGTTATGGCTTAATTGACAAATGTCCAATGAAAATAAACATCATGTGGAGACCTGTTCCATTTATACTTGATATTCAATTATATGCTAGTGTATTGCCAGAGCTCTCTTGATGAGTTTTATTAAATGTCAACATATTGCAGCTTTTTGCTTTTCAAATGAAAAAGATCACTTATTCTGGTAAGTTATTGAATTTGTGGATTACAGATGTTTGCAGGCTTTCCTTTATTTTATTAAAACAGAATAAATAACAGGAGTAAGGATTTGAGTTTGTATATTTCAATTATCTAAACTCTTTCAAACTTTACCTACCTAGCTTTTGAAATGCAAGCATTACATTTAGAGTGATTTTACATGAAGCCCAACCTCTGACCACTTGTCAAATTTTATAACTCCTTATTATCAAATACTGGGACTTATAGGATTCACATGTTAAGTATAAATATAACTACAATTGCTTTAGTATGTAGGTTTTTAATGTCGTTATTGAAGAAAACATAAGATGAACTGCATGGGTCGATGTGACATTTCCTTCCTTCTGTCACGCATGGTGCCCTCCTGAGGCAGGGCATTCACGCGGGTCTCACCTGGTCTCCAGATGCATTTCGCAGACGGGGCCACTCCACAGTAGAACCCCTCATGCCACTTCCCAAACAGCCGGCGCACCACCTTCCCCTCCTGATCCATCACAACCCCCTGGACTTCATTCATATTAGAATTCCAATAATTCACCTGGAAAAGCCAAACCCCAATTAAAACAGCCAATCTCTTTAATAACACCAATCTCTATAATTTCCATATGGAAAATTTTCTTAACCTTGAAGTTTCTCATTCACACCATTTCCAGAAATCGATCTCAAAATGTTTTATATGGAAGGATGGCTTTCTAGGCATTAGCTGGCTTAACTTTTACGAAGGGGATGACTTCTACTCCGTGCTATAACATGGTAGTATGATGCAGAAAAGGCTCAGTTTCTATCACAACTGCATATTAATTTATAGGTTAGTAATTTCTTCCTCAGGTCCTCCTGTCTTGAATTTCCCTTTTGCTCATGGATTTCAATGATTTTTCAATTGGCAATGCTATAGAAGTAGTTTGTGAAACATTTTTCATAGGATCTGTAAATGACTAAATTTTATCATGAGGATCGTGCTTCCTGCTCTGGTCTTCTTCCAGCCATGCTCCTCCCCATAAGGTGAGAAATCTGTGAGAATTTACCCATTTGGATCCCATGGGTCCTGTTCTAGATCAGTCCCCAAGTATGCAGGACCCTTGGGGTCCACATTCCCGGTTCACATGGCTCTAAGATTATTCCGTAGCCTGCACAGGCCTCTTCTTTGGATTTATCCACCCAAGGGCAGACCACCCACCAGTGTGTGGATCTTTAGGCCCGAGGGGTGGCCAAAGGTGGCAGTTTGAGGGTGTGGGGACAGAGCTTGGAGTTGTGGGCTGGATTGCCTACATATGTGTGTGAGGCCCCTTGCAGTGCAGGAGAGAGCTGGAGGTGGGAAGAAAGTGGGGAAGGCTATGTGTCAGGACTGGCTCTTCTCTACTTCCAGGTTTCCAGCTCAAGTCCCGAAGTATCTGTCCTAGCCTTGCAGGTTTTGTTATAAAAGGTATATCTGTCAAGGTGAGAAAATAAGAACACATTTTATTTGACAGTTTGTAGGCTTGATTTACACATTTCCAATATTTACACACATGGCACAGGGATTTCCATTTGTACCCTTGCCCTGAGCTCTGCATATATTAGGGACAGGCCTAAATCAAAGGTTCTCATAGCCTACAAAACTAAATGCACACATTTACTGTCATCACTCAGTCAGAGTAAATAACGATCCTGGCTCTTCAGTTCAGAGTCACCTACTGAGTTTATAAGAAAAAAAGGAAAAAAAGAAAAACATCTCCAGTTAAAATAAAGGTGTTTAAGTAAAACAAACACAACCTTCCAATATGGCTTAAAAGGATTTAACTAAGAGAAACATTTTGCATTTTAAGAGACTCCACGATGCTACCTGTTGCTGCCACATTAGAACGAGATCAGGAGTAGAAGAGGTAAAGAGGGTGGGTGGAGTTTCTGTACCATGATGAATTCTGTAGTGCCCCTGGACAAACATGGCGGTGATCCTATGTATTCCACTTCAGAGCAGACAGACTAGGTAAAATGGTGCTCTGGAGGCACTTGCATCCCAGACATCTTTTCTTGTTAACAAAGGTAATGCTTTTTCTTGAACTTATTTAGATTATAATAGTGGCAGATTTGGATAAGCTTATAGTGACTGGAAACTATCATCTAAAATCATCCTTAGAAAAAGATAACTGCATTATAATTAGTTCCCTAAAATTGATCACTTGAATATGTCATAATCAAGTGGGAACAGAAATAGAAATAGAATAGAAACCAGAAGACATGCTATAGGCCAGAAGTGTTTTCTGGGAATTTTACTTAATGAACTACTGACTGGTTGCTTAAAAAGAAAATTCTTTAAAAAAGGTGTTTTTTTTTTCTCTTTTGAGATGGTGCCCTTTTTGACCTCCACATGTTCAGAAGTCTGTATACCTTGAGTAATACCACCAGTTGCTTCTGCTTTCTTACCTAAAATGTCCTTAAGGGTCAATGATACAGAATAGATTCACTTGAGGTTTTTTAAGGTAATTATTTTATTCCTTCCTTAGGGAGCATATTATGCTATTTTTTTCTTTACTGCTGTAAGATACTATTTACCTTGACAAACGTGAGTTTGCAAATGCAAACACTGCTTTTGGTATTTCTGATGGTTACTTCTCCATAATGCTCTATCCATCTCCTCCCACTGAGAATGTTGTGTATGCACGTGGTGACTTTATTCCACACATAGCAATCGCCATACCTAGTGTAGAATACAACATTGATTAAAAACAATGAAGACTCCCCCCCACACACACACACACACAACATATATATAACTATTTCTACTAACGAGAATATTCTTTGGCCAAAGCTTCCTTTTCTCTCATTTTCCCCTTTCTTTGTTGAAAGTTTCTATATGGTCAAGGACATTTATGACATGATTCATTCATTTAAGGAACAAGTCAGTGCTTTCTTATGGGCTAGGTGCTAAAGTTACCAAATTAAATAGGGTCTGATTCTTGCTCTCCTGGAGCCAAGGATGTGGTAGGGGTAGATGGACAAAGTCAACCAACACTTCCAATAAGATAATAAGGAAGCATCATGTGAACACAGAAGGGGGAGTCCTTTGTCCTTACACCTGCCTGGAATGTGGGGCGAGCGTCAAGGAAGACCTACTAGAGGAGACTGGGGAGAAGTATCAGAGGCCAGAAGAGCACAACACATCTGGGGACCTGTGAGTGGTGTGCTACAGGCGAGTGGCTGTGGCAGGGGGCAAGGTGGAAAGGTGTGATGGGGCAGAGCAAGGAAGGCCTTTAAGACACACCAATGAGTCTGGATTTACCCTGCATGCAATGGGCCATCCTGGAAGGTTCCGAGAGAAGAGAGAGGCAGATAGGGTATGCATTTAAGACAGGTTACTCTGAGGAAATTGTTTCATACTTTGCATTAAGACCAAAAATATGAATAATTCTTTGGGAAAGGACCAACAAGCATAACCAAGAGGGCACATATCTAATGCAAATAAATTCTAGGGAGTAAGGTATAGAATTTCTGCCAGTGAACGAGGTAGCATAGCTTCAAGTCACATTTGCATGTTATGTATACTTTCAAATAAAGTGTTACTTCAAAATAAAATAAAACGCTACTAAGTTTCTAAAAAATTATGAATTCGCATGATGCAGGTACTATATACACCTGAGAAAACTCTTTCTTCCTCATGAGTTTGCAAATATTGAAAGTTTACTTTGTAGTAAATATCCAATCCACTAGCAAATTCTGTCATTGAAATAGACAAAAAACAAACCAAACCAATCAAATGAAGACAAAAACAAAACCAACCAAGACTTTGGCCTCAATGAAAACTTCAACTAACTTTAAAAGATTTATCAGCTGTATCCTCTAAAAAACAACTATAAAATAATATTCCATCCCTCTTACTTAATAAAATAACTTAGAAATTAAAAATAACCCCAGGATCTAAGATGAACTCAAAAGTGAAATTATAATTTATATAGAAAAGAAATGGCTGAAAAAAGGAAACTTTCATATAAAATGCAAACTAATACAGTGACTGAGACAGGTAGACACCTAGTGTTGATTGATGGATGAAGGATGTGAAGAGATAAATAGGAGGCTTTGATACATATGCTAAAGTTCTCATTTGCTTTTGTGGGAGAACATTCTCAAAATGTTGGTGAAGTTAACAGACACTTTGGCCATACAGGCAAAAGGGCCCTTGGCAACTTCTAGCGTTTCAAACACCCACTTCTGATTTAGAAAAGCAGATAAAAGATTTTGAGAGCAACCTACTTTGGAAGCATGACATTCAGTGTTCCAATAGGCAGGATTTCCATTGACTTTCCCCAGAATTTGTTTTTCCATCTGATATCTAAATGACATAGGCAGAGGACAAGGAATAGGTCCTGATGAGTTTGAAGTGTCTTTACACCATAAAGAATTACTCCACATCAAACTATTTATTCTATAAAAACTAACTTTTGTATTATACTTTACATTTTACAAAGAACTTTTGTAATCACAATTGATTCTATATTGTTGATTTAACATGACAAGTGCCTGAGGATGGCCCAAGGGGAAAAGATTAACTGTGAGCCCTCCCAAATCTACTATCTATGTTTCTCTGTAACACATGCTCCATATTTGTTTTCAACTGGTAAAATGGGAAAAAGCCTTGAATAATGTGCGTGCATGTGTGTGTATTCACATACACATATACTCTACTATGCTTTAATTGGAGATAAATGTTGTTATAAATGTTAACTAAATAGTGTAAATTATATATACATATGTATATAAAGTGAGTTGTATAGCAAAAATAATTGCAGTATGACAATACCATTGATTTACATACACATTTATTCCAAGAGTTATATGATTTGGGAGAACAGTACAAAAATAAAACCTCTAACTACAGATAGGCAGGATTTATGAGACAGTGGTATTAACTTAATGAACATGTTCGTACTCTGGGTAAGGTTTGGCCCAGGGCCCAGCACTTTGTCTCACATGACGGCTTTATGTTTTACTTGTGGACACTCACCTGTGCCTTTGTTATAACTACTTGGTCCCACTCTGATGAACTAAGGGAACTTAGTTCCCACAAAATTTCTGACTCTTAGTTATGATAAAGAAATGATTTATTTTCTAATTTTGCAATAAAGTACAATTATAGAGCTCTATCATTCTTTGTGTTTTAGGTTGAGGAAGTACATATAAGAAGAGTCATTCTGTGAGCAAATAAAGCACCCTTCCAAACGTGAAGGAACTATTTATACCTCATGGTCAAATTTACATACATATCTATATATGTAAACACTTTATTGAATTTTGAAACATTTTATTTTTGGTAAGTTTGCAACATTCTAACTGAATAATGGGCATTGATTAAAAAGAGACTTCAAACCCCTGAGCTTCAATGAGTTAAAGACCAGAAATCACTGCAATATTTATGTATCTAAATAGGCTATGATGTGCCATAGAGCCTCCCTTCAGGATTAAGATCTCTTTGCACACCCTCAGGAAACAAGAAGGCAGCCGATATAATCTCCATGTTATAGATACAGACAATGAGGCACAATGAGTTCAAGTGATAGCCCCGAACTGGCACAGTCAGCATAGAACTTTGTTGTCCCATAGGGCTTTGCTTCCTTGATTAAACTCTCATGGCCTAGATAACATGGTTTTATATTCAAACCAGAAAATCTGATTTCTCAAACTGAACTCTGTACCAATTACAAACATTCTCCAAGCTCCCAAGGTAGAAATTTAAACTGAGCATAATGAAACTAGAAACTGTTTCATAGGCTTGTCAATTGGATTTTTAAGTTGTAATTGAAATACAAACCTTGCCAAAACACAAAATTCTTGGACTCACAGTGACAGGCAGAAATGGGTGGATGATGGCTAACCTGGTCATTAAAAACAAAACAGAAGGCAATGACATCAGTTTAAAACTCCCATAAATAATCATTTTTTTATGACCCATCTTGGCTACTCCCAAATAATAACTGCTCAATTTACCCATCTCTATTACTGAATTACTCTCAAAATGTACAAGTAAGTTACTGAATCTTTACATTTTAAGACTTCATGCTTAGAAACAGAGCGCTTATATACATTTATTTAGAGGGGCAATTCCATAGATAAACTAAATGAGTTTTTGTTAACTGGGAGCATAATCTACCCCAAACAGAGGTTTATCAAACAGCTATTTTCATCATCAAACTGCCCTCCTATGTACTTAGACACCTACCTGAATCCAGCAGGACTTACCTGTTCTGAGAAAAAGCGGAATCCCTTGTCCTCTCGAATGCATTCATAAGTCTCCCCAAGGACAGGGTTGAATGGCTTACTTCCTGCTCTGAAATAGGTGGAGCAATATCCTGAAACTGCAAATGCAGCAATAAGAACCTGTTAAAACATTTAAGAAAGGAAAATAATATAGGAGAGATGACTTCCAGGTCTGTTTGTCCCTTATTCCTCTAGACGTTACACATCCTCGTCAACGGGTGCCGACTAGATGGCATTTGCATTTTCTGTTATTTGTACAGA